GCAGAAAACAATGTCTTTTAGTACATGAAACAGTGTTTAAACCAAAAGCTGAAGTTTCCTCTGAAGGGATACCAGTGGTTTTTCCTTATTTTACATCTGGATTCTTAAAGGCACACACAGATTATCTGATAGGTTCAGCAATGTAGAATGGATGTAAATGCAAACAGATTAATGATTACTAGCTTCTCTGTATTGATTGCACAGCTCTGAAGGAGGACAGAACACAAGAGAATGGTGAAGCAGGAGCAAATTTCTCAGTATCTTTGTAAGATTACACATTTCTGTTCAGCACTGCATCCAATTAGTCTATATATTCTCTTTCTGTTTTGTTCGTATGATGGAGTGTAGTTTGGCCCTTATGTCTAGTCCTTCATGTTACAAAGGAATTCAAGGAATCATAAAGTCATAGAATTGACTAGGTTAGAATAGACTTTTAAGATCAACACCAACTGTCCTCAGCGCTACCGAGGCCACCAATAAACCGTATCACTGAGGGCCTCATCTACATGGTTTGTGGACACTTCCAGGGATGGTGATTCCACCACTGCCCTGGGCAGCCTGTTCCAATGCCTGAGCACCCTTTCCATGATGGAATTGTTTGTAATCTCCAGCCTAAACCTCCCCTGGTGCAGCTTGAGGTCATTTCCTTTTGTCCTATAGTTTGTTACTTGGGAGAAAAGACCGACCTCCACCTAACCACAACCTCCTTTAAGGTAGTTGTAGAGAGAGGTAAGGTCCCTGCTGAGCCTTCTCATCTCCAGACTACAACCCCACTCTTCTCCAGAACAACACCAGTTCCCTCAGCTGTTCCTCATAAGACTTCTTCTCTAGACCCTACACTGAACCAAAGTTTCACTGGAGGATGTCACAGAAACAATTTTTTTAGTTCTTCCATCCCAAATTTACTGGGTAAGTGTCAGGAAAAGCAATCAAATGATATAAGAAATCCAACAATAGATTTATTATTTTTCTCATTTTCTTTCCTGACTAGCAGGGCATCTCCTACTAAGTGCATATTGTTGCAGAGCCCAATTTTCACTCCCCAGTGACTTCTCACTTGAAGTTACTCAGTATTCTCCAATACTTAGTAGGGAGGGACAAGAATTTCTACAAGACAATTCATCCCATCTTGGATGCTGACTTTAGCAGAATTGGTATCACTCTCAAAACATACCAATTCTGTTTTCATTGACTATGGAGACAGAAAACCAGCTCAGCTGAAACACCCAGCTTTTAAACAGGGAAGGTTTGATGAGGTGTGTCCCACCCATATTCCAATACTCTGAATATAATAAATGCAATAAAAAAGGCCTGGCCCAGCTGCCATAATCCTCATTTGCTTATAGGTGGGTTGTTTGTTAATTAAGCATTGCAGTATTTTTGCCAGAAGTTATACATAAATTATGAGACTTTAAGATGGCCCCAAGGGATTACAGGAACAATAATCTTCACAAAGGGTGTTCAAATACTTTTTGTGTGTGTTTTTAAGCACTTACCAACCCCTCCTTGGTAGTTTATGCATCAAGTGGTTTGTCATTATTGTAATATAACTACGTGGTTGGATTTAAAGAGCCCAGCCTTTTGAAATATGTTTATTAAATTGTACTGGTCAAGCATACTCTTCCTGTTCGCTTTGCCAGATCATGATTTCTAACCTTGGGTTTTCAGCTGATTTTCTTTCACACTTCAGGTTTTCATTTATTTGTTCTTGTAGAAGCTCCTTCAGGGCTGATGTTGTGTTAATTCACGGCACCTTCACTGTTTGTGGAACAAAGCTCTGCAGCACCTGCCTGTGTTCCCATGTTTTGAGAGCTTTCCCTAGGGTTTTCCTAGTCTAATTACAAGTGCTCTACCACTCTTCTGTGTTTTAAACACATCCTCAGCTTCCTAAAAAAAATATATTTAACAAATTGCCTGTAATCTGGCAAAGAAACTCTTCACCTGTTTTGACCAAATATGAAGAAACTGAACAACTGGGCTGTCTGGGATACAATCAGGGTGATTTTAAAAAATACTTTGCAAAGTGTCTTTCAAATTTTCCTCTGAAAAGTACATGCTGGTCCTGTCCAAATCTGAATGCCAACTTCAGATAAGGGTTGTGATTTTGAAGGAAAACCACCATGGTTTGTATCAATTATACTTTGTCCAGCATAGGTCAGGAAGAAAGAGAGAAAACCTGCATATTAAAGCAGATGGCAATTATGATTAACGTTTGAGCCACCCTCATTATGTCAACCAATAGAAGAAGAGGTAAAAAAACAAAGCCAACATAATTCCTCCTGTCATTCTAATGTATTTAATGGACCATTACCAGGAATGAATCTTGCCAATTAAGTGCTAAGATGAAAGAAATATTTGTTTTGTCATTTGCATTTTACGCATCATGAGAATTTGAATCAACTAATACATATAAATATTGAGCAAAACTGTTACATCATTGTGAGGTGAACCACCTGTGATAAATGTAGGCTGGGGTTAATGGGAGCCTCAGGTTCTCCAGACAGTTTGAGGAAATGCATAAAAAGTCGCTCCTCAAAACTGCCTTGCATTTATTTCTATTGACTTCTTCTTCCCACAGCCAGCTGTTTGCTAGATATCAGATTGTTCTTTTTCTGTAGATTGAGTTTGGTTCTCTTTTATCATTTAGGAGGAAGCAGTATTATATTCAGGTTTTAAGGGCTAAGATCTCCACTAGCTCAAATCTGAGCTATAATCTGTTAAACAGATACTAAAACTTTGCCTGTAGTCCTGCTCTGTACTCTTGCACTATAAAGGCCTCAGTTGCAAATGCGTTTATCAGAGGATATGTCTTCTTGATACTTAATTACTTGGTTTTCCAGTTACTGTTTCAAATTTGTTTGTATGGAAGAAAGCCAAATCTTGGAGGAGATGTAAGTAAAGCTGCCTACTCACAGCAAAAAGGCCATTTGGGGTGTTAGGAATCAGGTTAGCCTTTGGACAGTTCATTCAACAATGCATTAAACGTCAGACCATGTGGAGCTGCCTTTTATCACAGACAAGGTATAGGATAAAACCAACCATTTGTCAGAGGAAGCATGTGACCTTCTATATTCCTGTGTTTCCACTAAGCAATTAACCATCACTGAAAAAAAAATTTTGATAGATCTTTTACTAATTTGAGAAATTACATCCACAGCAGTAAGTAGAGGGGAGGAGTAAGGGGGGAGTAGTTACAATTAGGTGGGATGGATCTGGAACTAAATTAGTGTTGCAGAGGACCCAGACTGCTGTACCTTTCCCATTTCCAGGAGATTTAGGCTTTTCTTCCTGTTCCAGAGGAATCTGTTCTGTGTTACACATACATTTAGTCATGTTGCCAGTTGACCAATTCATGTCCAGTACCAGTGTCAAGAGCTCCAAGGAACTGATTGCCGTGACCTGAGGGCAGTGGCTCAGCCACCATCCACTGTCATCACATTACCAGCCCAGATGCTCAGTTTCTTCCTTCAGGACAGGATCTCTGTTAGCGCCCATACTTTAAGGGCTCCTTTTGTTACAGGAGGTTTTGTTATGGTCATCTTTACCACAACGGATTTCCTTGCAGATTTTAAGGTCCTGGCAGCAAGTAGGATACCCCTTCTGCCTGTTGTTTTAAAACTGGATACCACTGCAGAAGGTGTTGGTCTTGCAGGAAGAGCCATTCAACTTACAAAAGACTACTAGAAGGCAGATTTACAGCTGACTTCTTAAGTAATGAATGTTGAGAATTGTGTGGTATGAACTGTCCAGTTACAGAGGGTGGAGCTGGGCATGAGCAGCAGCACTTGCTTTTTTTTCTTCGTATTCTGCTTTCAGGTTCTGGTTGCAGTTTCTTTGCACACTGTTACATTATGCTTGGCCATGCATCTTACTGTAGTAAAATATGTAGCCTAAGATCTTCTGGCAGCTGAACCACTTGAAGAAAGCTATCTTGCAAGATAAGCATCTGCTTGAGTGAGGAGATGGTTGCTTGCTTTACTGATAAGCTAAAAAGATATGCCATGTACAGCACAGTAATTTTGTTCAGTTTTAGGCTACCTATATAATATTTACAAAATTCTATTTGTTTTTCATATATACATGACATAAATGGAACCAGAGAAGTCCCAAACGTAGGAACTCAATCAAAAATTATTATGCACATAGTCCTTATTGTGGTTTTGAAGAAGTGCCATTTGCACACAGCCAGAATTTTGGAGTGTGAAACAATTTAATAGCACAGGTTAGTGCTATTAATAGGCTGGTCTAAACTAGAGAAACACAGAACATGAAATTCATTTTATAGCATTCACCAATCTTCCATTAAGAGCTGTGGTTGTGAAATCATTTGTATGACATTAGATTAGAAGTCTGCAGTGGAATAAACCAGGCTTTAATTTTCAGAATGTGAACAGTCCCTTGTAGTTCAAAGAACTATCTCACAAACTCATAAATGGGGAGTCTAATAAAGCAATGTGTAAAGAAGGTTGCTGTTCATCTATGACCATCATGTTGCGACCATGTTGTTGCAATTCAGTAGCAAAACAGGCCTAGCAAGGGCTCCTCATGGAGACTTTCACTATGAAGGCTGGGTTTGCACAATATTATTGCAGCCCTATGTACAACAGGCAGCTTTATCCAGAAAAGCTGGCAAGTTCAGAATGGATGAGAATGCAAAACCACAACAGACTTACTTTAAATGATGCAACAGAATTTTAATGAGAATGAAAAGAACAAAAGTATATTGCAATATCAAGAATGTATATCCAAGATGTCAGAGTCAAATGCATTTTGAAAGACGCTGTTAAATGTCTCACTGAATTCAGGCACAAGTATGATCAAGTTGAGGATAACAAGCAATTGAACCCATGAAGGTATCAGGAAAGAATTCAAAAGAAAAAAGGAGAGGTGTGGAGCATGCAGAAGACACTGCACTGAACAGGATTTGTGAGAGCTGTCACTCCTCTGCTCACCGGTGAATCTGCATTTTGCACACTATTCAGTGGATTTTTCTGTTGAGTTTACCAGAAGCCACAGTTGCCACGGAGGTACCTGTTGTGCCAGTAGGAGTAAGGGCTGGAGTAGCCAGATCCATAGAGTCTACCATAGCCATACAGACCCCCGTAACCCAGAGAGCCCCCACAGCCATACAGACCACCGTAGCCTAGGGAGCCATACCCCCCATATCCATACAGACCACCATAGCCCAGGGACCCATAGCCCCCATAGCCATAGAGACCTCCATAGCCCAGGGAGCCATAGCCCCCATATCCATAGCCCCCATAGCCAAGTGAGCCATAGCCTCCCAGGCCTCCATAGCCCCCAACGAAGGGTGCTCCAGAGGATCCCACAACTGAATCCTGGGGGAAAGAGCTGAGGATGGGGCCGGGGAAGGTGACGACCACTGGAGGTGGCTGGATCACAGTGGTGGTATCAGGGCACTGGCGGACACATGGCTCATTGCAGGTGTCAGCGAGAGGCTGGGGGCGAGCAACGCCGCAGGCAGAGCTGGAGACCAGGTCGTAGCAAGACATCTTGTAGGGATGGAGGTAAGCTGTGACAGATGCTGATAAGTGAAAGAAAGTTACATGTTTAATGGGAAAAAAGAGTTTGAAATTTGGACACATGGACTAGAATAATGGCTTTATCTTTCAGGTCTTGCTTGTCCTTCCTTCTCTTCAGTATTTTCATGAAACACCTCTCCCTCTTGTAAATCAGCATTGCCCAAACTGCACACTAAGCAGTCAGCTCTTCTACAGTCTTATTCCTAATTTCTTACACTTGCTTCTCTTGAAGAAGTAGTTCTTTGTCCCACCCTGCTGCTAAACACTGCAAAAATATAATCCAGCACTTTACTTTGCAAATTACTTCCACTAAACTTTGCAGCCACTCTTACAAATGCCTGTGTCTGAAAGGTTGTTTCATGTTTGTTTTATCCTAGCAAAAACAAAGCAATGTAACCTGACAACCAGCAAAGCTCATGTGGTAAATTAATGGGTAGCTGGAAGAACAACTCTGGTATTGACTTTTTAACATGCTTCCAGAAGCAATAACTAATATCATGCTACCAGTATGCTGAACCTGCTTTAAACACGGACTAAATAAGGCATTCCCTGCCCTGAAGTGCTTGCAAAGTAGCTTGAGAGTCACAGGGTGGGTTAAAGATTGTCTGATTCCCCACATGAGAAACTGGCACACTCAGGTAACCTGCTGCAGGTAAGTATTTTGGGATGTGAGCTTTCAGAAAGACTTTTACCATAGGATCTAAGCCAATCTAAAATAAAATCTGTGGAAACCATTTTTTTTCCCCCTCCAGAACCAATGAGACATTAGAATAGAATTCTGGAGGTCATCTAGTCCAACTCCCTGCTTAAAGGAAGAGCAATGTAAAGGGTAGCCTAGGATTTCCTAGTTTCATCTCCTAGTTTTCCAGTACTTCATGCCTAGTTTTCCAATACTTCTTTAGACAATATTTCTCTATTCTTTCTAGTTGAGCTTGTCCCTTTAACAAACACATACATATGCACAGACACATATAACAAACATGCAAACTCCTTAACAACTTCCTAGTGATTGAATGAGCCTTCTGCTGATGTTTTGGAAGCTGCTTTGACAGCTCACATTTGTATTAGCAGGAAACAATAATTTTTGAATACTCTAGTTTTACCATTTTAAACCCAAATAGACGAACAATATCAAATAAGAAAAATTAATTCATGGCAAAATAATCCAACACTATTAAGAATCTTAGAATACTTATGAATTATTCCAACCTTAATTAAAACTGGCAGAAAAGATATATTTGAATTTTAGGAAAGAAAACACATAGAGGGATACTTACCCTTTTCACGGAGGTGAATAAAGCAAGTAAAGTGGAATGAAGGGCCCTGAGTTGGAAGAGCTTTTATACCATTCTCTAGACCATGGGGATCAGCCAGAGTGCAATTTGAGCACGTGCGTAATTGGGGCAAACCCCAAACTCATACAACACGTAGGTCCTCAAAATTTTGCTGACTGCTTGTTCATTTGTTATTCTAAGTCTCGTGAAATGTGATAGGTGCATTTTGTCATGGAAGCCTCTTTCATCTCAAGTGGCTTCATGTCCTATTCATTCCTGTTATCATTCCATTCACATCCTTAGCGTTACAAGAATTATACTAATGCTCTTCCTTGGCTTCTCCATTATTAATGGCAAAACCCATTGCGTGGCATGGTCGCTCGATGTGCACAGATTTTTCCATTAGATCCAGACTGTAAGACACCTGGAGATAAAATGGAGTTCCATTGGAACAGCTTTGGGTAGTCATTTTTATCTTGATCATTTGTGCTTAATGTGAGACCAATACTGCACCCAAAGGAAGTCATAGAAAATATCCTGTGGAGTTTAAATGGTTTTCTGTTGTTTTGATTTTGCTACTAACACAATGCTGGCCTCATCTAATGAACAAAGGACTTGAGGAAACACCTCTTGCCTTCTTTGTTGTGCATTCAGTTGTGGATTACTTACTCTCCCTGCCCTTATCCCAAAACCGGGCAAATCCTTCGGACCATATTAAGCAAAAGGCAGGAATAGAACATCCTTTTAAACTACTAAGATTTGTCTAACAGATCCCTCAGTGTATTTCAACCCAGGTTGGAGTCTAGAGGCAAACTAATAATTAACCTTTCTGTTCTCAAGATTTCTTTGTGAGGCATTTGACTGCCACATTTTCTAGTTTTCTGTCTCCTGACAGAAAATCATCCTCGCCTTTAGGGATCCAGGATTCCTGGGGTTAAGTCCATCTTCAGATCAGGCAATACTGAATACTTCTGAGGAACAAAATTAATGAAACGTGACTGGTGGAAACTTGCTAAAGCTACCTGGATATATGCCACGATAAAGAGAAAATCATTTACATGAATAAAGGCTGATAATTGATAGAATTGGAACATCTAAAGAAATGAGTCCTCTGTTTCTGTGGTCTGTGTGACTAAAAATGATAAGGATACACTGATTATACAGCTTGTGAAATGCTGTATTTTTTGTAAAACTTTGTATCTTATTCAAATCTAGACTATTAAATAAAAGGAAGGTTACCAAATCCTCAGTATTCATCCATGAACTGATTATACCAAGAACACAAATATCTTGGCTTACATACTTTAATGTGATGTCATTCAATAATTGCTAGATACCTGAATCCAGGTACATGCCTTCAGTCTAATGTAAGATTGTATTTGTAAACCATTAGTGGATAGTTTGTAGCATCTGAAAAGATTTGCTCCCTGAAAGCTTGAAAATATTATTGTCCAACAGAACTTTCAACCACCTCAAAGGCTAAGAAACCCACCTCATAATTTAGAGATAATCTGTGGCGTAGAGTCTGCAGTAGTAAAATGATACACCTGTAAAGAAGGGAAAAACCAGCCTTTGTTTTCTGTGGTGCACTCCAGGTGTGTAATTGTTCCCTGTTCCCAAGAAACTGCCAGTTCAGCCCTGTTCTGGACTTACGGCTTGCAGCCACAATAGTGTATTACAAGAGGTTATGAATTCCTGAGGATCAAAATCAATGAATCAAAGCACTTCTGTCACATTTCATTTTTTACACCAGAGGTTCCATTGGTGTAAAGATAAAACTTAGATTTCCTCAGATCTGTTAAATATTCTCAAATACCATCTTTGTACTGGCAACATCAAGCCAGCAATACCTGAAAAAAAGTCTCTTTGGGATCTCCTATCCCTTTAGTTAACTTCAGAAACTCATTCCTTGCTTATGTCCTAAAAACCAAAAGCCAGCTTGAGGAAGATGAAGGCTTCCCCCCCATCTTCTGTGTGAAATTCTGCGAAGTTAGTTCTACACATTTTTTTTTTTTTGCAGGAGAATGCAACTGTTTGAGCGATCGATGGATGCAGAAACTGATTCAGATCGTAGCTGAATGAAAAGAGCTCCCAACATGCCAAAATGAAGCATTTCTTTTCTTTTTTTTGTTCAAGTTAATTTTCAGTTTCCACATAAAACCTATTTAGAGACTGAAGCAAGTCCCTGGAGTTGCTGTTTCTCTTCTGAACTGAATTGTCCCCATTTTAGCCACTGTCAAATGCCACTGCAAAATAGCATTAACTCCCAACTTCGCTGTGTCCCCCTACTGTAGGTGGGGAAGCTAAATCACCCCCAACCTTCCTGTCACATTCACAGTCTTTACCTTTCATCCTGGCAGGTTGTAATATGAATCATATGCACTTAAACAAAAATCCTGTCCACGACAACAGTTTGTAATTTTGATAAACTCATGAGACACTCTCCAGGTGTTAATACAAGAGGAGGTGGCTTAATAATTTCTGTTGTAACTTCAAGGAAGCAACTGGAATAATTCCAGGTATTCATTTTCCCCAAATTGTCACAAGATGAAAGAATTATCTATAAAGTAATGTTTACATCCTTATACAAACAAATTTGAAAGGACTCATAAACGCCAATAATGAAAACAGCAATTTCATCATCTTGATGGGTTACACGTGTTTGAAATTGGGGCGGGCAGCTACCGTTGATCTTGTGCCTCCCAAACGCTCTGATATAAAAGCTCTTCTCTCTCATAGCTCTTCCAAACACTTCCCTTGACTTCTTGGTGACTTGGGTAAGTCTGATTCTTCTATATTGCTATCTGGGTATCTTTTTACTGCTGGTTTCAACTAGAGCTGATGCCCACCACCCATACTGTTGAGTGTATCTGCATTGCCTTGGGACAGAGATTCTAATGCTGGTTCTATGGTAGCAGATACACCTATTTGGTGCATGGGGACTTCTGGAGTTCTCAGTGTTAGAAACACTGGAACTTGGAGAAACTGGATGATGCTCTTAGTCATCTGGTATAGTTTTAAGTAGTCTTGCAAGGAGCAGGGAGTTGGACATGATGATACTTCTGTTTTCCTTCTAACTTGAGAAAATCTATGAACCTTACTTCAATGCATTTAATGTATTCCAAAGTTTGCACATCAGGTTCAGCATTTAATAAGGGCATCACCACTGCAGCCATTCATGCAACCTGAGATGAATGAGCAATGCTTCTGAGAACATTGTGTGTGTTCTGGTGTAGTAAATCTAGCTGTCGTTTTCTTTCTTGCTTTCATATTGTTCCTCAAAACACTGTTAAGGATTTATAGGACATAGTGAATGGAGAAGACTAAAATCACCCTTGGAGAAAATAATTTTAGAGGGGAGAATACAGGCTGAATTCTTGAGTTTACCAAAGAGTCCTAGTTTGTTTTGGGAATAATAATTTGAAATGAGTTTCAAATTCACTGGGGACTAAACCTCTATTTATATTGAAGCTATCCAGATTGAATTCATACAATGGCTGCATAAATGGAAATTGGGATAATAATGTTACCATGTATCCTTTATTGTCTTGTCAAATGGCTTACTTAGCAATCAGGGCAGTCACAGTCCTGTAATCTGTTGTTCCTACAACTCTCAGCAAAATTAGGACGAGTGGGAAGAAGAAGCTACTGTAATTAAGTTGTATATAAACTACTTCTCATGTAAACCTGCTGAAACCAAATCCAAGTTTTCCTACTGACTCATCAAGTAACCTTGGACAAAGTCACTTTGCTCTCTCTGGTTTTGTTTCTCAGATTTCAATTTAATGTGTAGAATTATATCAAAGTTTTTGCAGGAAATTTGTGAAGAAGAACACCTCAAGTGGTAGACATAACATTTCCCATCTGTTTTCATACCTGTAGACATCTTTTTGAGAATTTTTGAAAATCAAGGATAATGATTGCAAAATGGGAAACTGAAGTATTTACTCAAAATCCTGCACTTTGCTCATTATTTTAATGTAAACTGCTGACCTTTGAATTCTTCATCTTCTACTTAGTCTAACCAGTATTATGTGTCCCAGCTTACCTCCATCCCTACAAGATGTCTTGCTACGACCTGGTCTCCAGCTCTGCATGTGGTGTTGCTCGCCCCCAGCCCCTTGCTGACACCTGCAATGAGCCATGTGTCCGCCAGTGCCCTGATACCACCACTGTGATCCAGCCACCTCCAGTGGTCGTCACCTTCCCCGGCCCCATCCTCAGCTCTTTCCCCCAGGATTCAGTTGTGGGATCCTCTGGAGCACCCTTCGTTGGGGGCTATGGAGGCCTGGGAGGCTATGGCTCACTTGGCTATGGGGGCTATGGATATGGGGGCTATGGCTCCCTGGGCTATGGAGGTCTCTATGGCTATGGGGGCTATGGGTCCCTGGGCTATGGTGGTCTCTATGGCTATGGGGGCTCTCTGGGTTACAGGGGACTGTATGGTAGATCCTATGGGTTTGGCTCTTGCAGCCCTTACTCCTACTGGCACAACAGGTACCTCCGTGGCAACTGCGGCCTCTGGTAAATCCTACAGGAATATCGCAGGTGTGAATAACTGGCAACTGAGAGATACAACCTCAATCCACAGCAGTGGTTCCAAAGAAGATGTTGTGAAGTCCTGATCTCTGCCACCTCCTTGCTCTGGAGCTGGGAACAAACACAACATGCTTAATTTCTTTACTCTCTACTCATGGTCTTTTTGGTCTTTCTTCCATTTATGTGTATAATGAGTGGGGTAAAATAATTAATTTCCATTCTTATGAAATGGCATGTCACTGTCCAACCAAAGAACAATTTTGGAAGAAATTGCCTGCACTCAGATGCATATTCTTGATATTCTGCAATGCTTTTCTGTGAATGTTTATTTCCCATTAAAATGATTCTACTCTGCATCAAAAAAAACTTATGGTTTTAATTTCTTCTGCTATGAAATACAAGTCTCCTCTTTGTAAATGGGGAAAATTCACATTCTTACATAGGATGAAGCTCAGACTTCAAAAACACAGCTGAAGTGGCCCAGCTATCAGTGAAGTGAGTCAACCTTTGCTGCACTCAATGCATACATTTGGGAGCAGGAATCCTCCCTCCCCAGCTGGCCTGAGTTACAAAAATAACATTATATTTAGAAAGAAACCACACTAAATCTCCATTCCTTAATGATCTGCTTGAATGTCGTTACTGATTATAGCAGGAGCAGAGCTGGTGGCTCAGCTGAGACATGATTCAAAGCAGGTTATGGAGAAAGGGTGACCGACAAGGAGGCTATCAGGTGGGACGGATGCTCCTGTATCAGAAAGGGTTTAGGGCAGTGAAGGGTGTTAGCATGGAGCTGCTGAGAGAGGGTTTTGAAGGAGTTGTAGCAAGGAGAAGAGCTCTTCAGCAGTTGGTAGGTTGCCCAATAGGCCTTTTAGATGAGGAATATCACGGTAGAGGCTGAAAGTTGGAGTTGCTGAAAAGGAGGTTTTTGTTGTGAGGAGTTCTTATGCAGAAGAAATTAGGGAACACAACAACAGTGTTAAGGATACATGTGCAGGGTTGTGACTTTCTTCTCTTTTAAGCTTTTTGGGCACTGTAATTGTCTTCTACATTTCCAGCTCTTCTTGCTGGCATAGATGAATTAGCATTTGGGGTATGGAGTAGCTGTTTTTCTGTCTAAAAACACCCAATACCTTAGATTTCAGGATTATAGAGAAAGAGCAGTACCCACAATTCAGACTTAAAGTTCCATTTTATGGCCCAGAAAACTTCATTTCTTTAAGGATTTGATAAAATTGAATTCAATTTTCGGCACAGACTATTACTGAGGATAGAGTTTAAGTATTTGAGTGATAACCTGAAGTTCGAAGAGATTAAAAACAGATCTGGAAGAAATCCTTACTAAAATCTAATGTTTTTATGAAAGATCCATAATCTGCTGATTCATTTCTCCACCACTACTAATTTGTAAATAGTGGATGTATAACCAAGAAGCCAAATTCTTCAAAAACGTCAAGAATCTTTATCTGGAAAATGGGGGGGCAGGACAGTAGTTCCTTTTATGGCGAGGGCTTCACACTGCTTTTGTTCGTTTGAAATCCCTCATTCTTTGGGCAGGACATTCATCTTGGACTGTTACTGATGGCTGTTCAGGTTAGGTTTCTCTTAAGACAAATAACAATTGCAAAAGCACATGAAAAGAACACCAGAACATAGCAAATTTGATACAATAAACTTTTAATGACAGTGAGAAAACAAACAAATTTTCAGAGCCTCTAAGAACGAAACTGTTCTCCAGTCAGGGATACAGTCACATTTAATTGATTTTAGGTTTTTTTTCCTGAGTTTTAGCTGTTGATTTGAAAAAACAGGAACCATTTTGAGCAACTCTGTTGCATGTTCACATCAGTCAATATAGAAATATGATGGAAGAAAAGGCAGGAGCTGAAAGTAGAGGTTAAGAGAAGAAATGCAAAGGGGGCTAAGGGATATGTCTCACGGTCATGGAACAGAGCACTAGAGGTTCAGATCTTGTTAGCTCTGAAGCCATCACATCTCATTTGTCAGTTATACCTTGCCTGGGATATTTAGTAGAATTTAGCAGGGGCCGCAGCTGCCACGGAGGTACCTGCCAAACCGGTAAGGGCTGCAAGAGCCAAACCCATAGGATCTACCATACAGTCCCCTGTAACCCAGAGAGCCCCCATAGCCATAGAGACCACCATAGCCCAGGGACCCATAGCCCCCATAGCCATAGAGACCTCCATAGCCCAGGGAGCCATAGCCCCCATATCCATAGCCCCCATAGCCAAGTGAGCCATAGCCTCCCAGGCCTCCATAGCCCCCAACGAAGGGTGCTCCAGAGGATCCCACAACTGAATCCTGGGGGAAAGAGCTGAGGATGGGGCCGGGGAAGGTGACGACCACTGGAGGTGGCTGGATCACAGTGGTGGTATCAGGGCACTGGCGGACACATGGCTCATTGCAGGTGTCAGCGAGAGGCTGGGGGCGAGCAACGCCACAGGCAGAGCTGGAGACCAGGTCGTAGCAAGACATCTTGTAGGGATGAAAGTCAGTCTGTAAAACATAGTTGTTCATGTTAACATCAAAAAATATCAAACATTAGATTATGATGAAGCAGTCCAATAGCATATTAGTCATAAATCTGGGATGAAAACCTGTTTTCTATTGCTATTCCACGTAGCACTGTAATCTGGAGGTTAATTTTGACTTTGTCATCTTCATGTCATGTACTTTTTAATTGTATATTTGGTATTTCCAGATGAGATAATTTTTATGGTTTCTACTTAGTAAGTTTCATCTTTCCTGTTACAAACTCAGCAGAACTCTACTAAATGCAGCCACATATAACCATGTACATGAACTATTCTTAACCTTTTAAAATAGTCAAGGAACTCTTTGAAGCACTAAAAAGTTACAAGTTTGGGATTCAGAAAGGCTTCTTCTGGAGCCTCTCTTTACAGGACCCGGTAACAAATGAGAAACCAAACACTGTTTCAGCAGCAATCTACAGACCACTGGCAGCCTGGCAGTAACTGAAGAGGACTTGGTCCTAAGTTAAAATCAAGATTTCTTGACAGCAAGGTAAGCTTAGAGAAGTTTGAGAGAAATCTGACTTACCCAGTTCACGAAGGTGAGCGAGGTTGAGAGAAGTGGATGTAAAGACTTAATGCAGAGGGCTTTTATACAGCTCTGGTGATTGCCTGGAGGACATTGAGCATCCTATGCGTGAGCCCATAATTAAGTACCAACCCCAAATTGTAGGACACGTAGTTCCTCAAAGTGCTGAAACTGTTTTTGCTTATTGCTTGTGCGTTGCAGGCATTTCAAGCCCACACATAGCGTGACGTGCACACTCCACCACAGACCTCTCTATTATTTGCTGTCTTTATATGTGGAATTACATTTTATTATTCCATTGCTCTCTTTAACATTAAGGGAGGATTTAAGCTGACTTAAGATTCCTGCATAATTAGGATGACAGTCATATCTTTTGACCAGTGACAGGTCTTTTAGTGTAATCAGCAGTATACAAGGAGACAAAATGCAATTTCTTTTAGGATCTCAAACGAAGGCTGGAGACAACAAGGGTGGGAACTTTCCTCCTACAGGCTTAACGTTTCTACCTTGAGCTACTCAGTACAAGGCGAACACAATAGTTGGGAATATCTTTTAATGGCTTTTGGATGGTTCTCTACTAGCTGTCTTTCAGCCTTGGGAACAGAGAAATATTTCACCTGGAAATCCCAAGTCTATGGAAGATGATTTTTTCTGAGACGTTTCACTGAGCTTGTCCTTTATATTTTACCGTGTTTTCTTCTACTGTTATGTGTTAGACAGACATACCTAGGAACATAGGACTAAGAGAAGCAAGTACATCAGGCAACAAGACACAGATACTGAAAGGGACTGTAGCCCTGACACAATGAAGACAGGCTCCATTGGATCCTGTTTTGGTCTGGTGTTGGTTGGCTGGGGGTTTTTGTGGGTTTCTTTTTTTGTTTGGTTGAGGTTTTCTTTCCTTAGTCGTTCAGGGAACATTAGCAAATCTCTGTTTCTAGACAAACGTGCCCTTTAAAAATAAAATTTACTTTCTTTTTTGTTGAAGTCAAATAAACTAAGGTCCAAAAAGTGTTATAAACCATAAACTTATTATGGAAAGACCCAAGTGACCTTAACTTACCTATTTTAATGTGATTATCTCTCAATAGTGGGGTGTATGCATCCACCTACTTTATATACTTTTTATATTATTATGACGCAGTATGTATAAGCTAGTAATGGGTGTTCATGTGGTATTTCAAAAATCCCTTGGAATGTTCTCATAAAACTTTCAAATGACTTTTTGCAGTATTATAGCTCAGGAAATTTCCATATGTATCACCAGATTTGGAAAAGCTCATAATTAAGAAATAATATGTGGTCTGAAGATAACCACATTGATGATTATGATAACCATGATAATAATACAGTATTACAACAATGGCATAAACAAAGAAAGAAACCTCAGCAAAAGCCAGGATTTGCCTTTCCCAGCTGATTCCCACTTCATAATTGCTCTCTACTGAAAGATGCCACCAATATTGGAGTTAGCTGCAAGGTCAGCTTGTTGTGGGGAGTTCTTATGCAGAAGACCAAGATATTAATTCAATGTACACATCGATTATTTTAATCTTTCAATCCTGAGCATTAAAAGTATAAATATCTCTCCATTCAGAACTAAATTCAGCTTTATGCTGTAATTTGAAGGTCAGATTAAACGTAAGGCTGTTTTGGATATCTGCCACTGTGTGTTTGGGAATGCTCACAATACAATTTGATTCAGAGAGTATTGAGAATCCTGCATGGATTCCAATATGAACTGTATCAAAGTAATAATCAAAATAATCCTAAGCAAACAAAAAATATTGCTCATCCTCCTGAGGATTTAATGATAATCGAATCATAAACATGATAGACTGTGTTTTATTTTTAAGATAAGTTCTTAAACTTAAACTTAAACTTAAACACCTCACCACAGGTTTTTTT